TCATGTTCAGGAAGTCGGCCTATGGCTTCATTACACGCATCGAAAAGTCGGAAAACTGTATAATTGCTCAATTTGTCGGTAGTGATTTGTATACATATTCCCCCTACAAAAGGATGTGGGACCGTCAGCTGTCATCTCAGTGACGTGTGATCCTTGCTCATGTACGAGCCAACCATGTTATTGGACTTCGAGTCTGTTAATACAATGATCTCTCTCTCTCTCTCTCTCTCTCTCTCTCTCTCTCTCTCTCTCTCTCTCTCTCTCTCTCTCTCTCTCTCTCTCTCTCTCTCTCTCTCTCTCTCTCTCTCTCTCTCTCTCTCTCTCTCTCTCTCTCTCTCTCTCTCTCTCTCTCTCTCTCTCTCTCTCTCTCTCTCTCTCTCTCTCTCTCTCTCTCTCTCTCTCTCTCTCTCTCTCTCTCTCTCTCTCTCTCTCTCTCTCTCTCTCTCTCTCTCTCTCTCTCTCTCTCTCTCTCTCTCTCTCTCTTTTCGTGGTTTCAAGCGTTTAAACATGTGATATGATGTTGCCCCCATGCATTAGGGTGGGTGTCAAGGTCACCTTAAGGTCAGGTCAGGTCATTGACCTTTGATGACCTCGGCTCACTTTTTCGAGTTTTACATGTTTCTAGGCCAGTTTTGGAGCTGAATTCGAATTTAGCAACGATATGAACATTTACGAAGTAGTTTTGGTGCCTTCGTAACATGTTACGAAGCTGTCAGAGGCGGTTGCCACCTACTACGAATACCCTTACTGGTTGACCTGACCTGACCTTACCCGACCTGGTCTAAATGCTTAAAGACATCATCTCTGATCAAAACTAACACGATATTCGTGATAAGCACCCCGGAAAATCACATAGCAGCCACACTTTACGACGTTCTAACAGGTCCCGATTTTCCCGCCTTTGGGGTCATTGACCTGACCTGCAAGGTCAACCAATGACCTAGGACCCTAAAACTGGGTATCATCGGCTCCCTCTCGTCACGGGCAACACGCTCGTTTTTTCCGAGAAGCTCTAGCTCGATCAGGGGCGAAACGGCAAGGGGGGGTCCAACGGACCCCCCCCCCCCCCCCCTTATACGTTCGCGGCTGGAAAAACACCAATACGGGCGAGGGTTAAGCTCAGGAACACGATGGTGCTATTTATATTGGCGTACGATGTCAAATACGTGCTGAAAAATTGATTTGAAAAATTAATAATTGTGAGTTTTTTTGCAATAATGCGTATAACTTGGCAATTTTTGAAGATGTTTAGCTTAAACTTGCTAGAGTTAGTCATAATAATGCGTTCTATCACATATATTCCGGTTTTTTCGAAAATACAAAAACTTTTTGGGAAACAAATGTAAAAATATAAATTTTGAATTTTATTATATTAACCCTCGCCGGACCTATTGGTTTTCTACATACGCGCCGGCCGAGGGGGGGGGGCGGGTACGACCCCCCCCCCCTCGCCGTTTCGCCCCTGGTGGAGCTAGCGCGTCGCGGAAAAAACGAGCGTGTGCGCCGTTACGAGACGCAGAGATTGGTACCCGGTTTTAAGGTCCTAGGTCAACCGGTGACCTCTGAGGTCAGGTCAAGTGACCCAAGGTACGGTTCAGTTTTTGGTGAATAACTTCGCAAAAAACGGCCGCAGAGCGCCGATTTTGGCAGCATCGTGTTCGTCTCGCTCAGGCGCGTCGAATGATATACTTTTTGTCCGGGTCAGGTCAACTTGGGGTGTTGACCTCAGGTCAAGGTCAGGTCAGCACCCCCAGGTCACGAAGTTGGTCGAAAGAGGTCATGTCGCATATCATTCGATTCGGCAGGTCTGCCTGAGTCCATTGGTGGCTTTCCCGACTCGCTAGCTCAATTTGATCAAGAGTTATTGACGAAAAACTAATATGACCTTGATGACGTCATAAATGACGTCACGCAAGGTCTACATTGAAAAAGTGACGCATCTAACCTTGCAAGGAGTGCATAAAATCACGATTCTGTGTGCTTGAGATAGTTGGAGATCGCTCCCGGCGCCAGAATAGCAGTTTTCATTTTTCCCCATTGACTTATAATGGTGAGGTCACGAAAATGACCTGACCTCATATGACCTTTAGGAAAAATCCGAGATATACAAGTTGTGGGACTCATAATGGATACTAGATCCTGCAAGTTTCATTTCCCTGTGACATCTCCTCTGGCAGTGAGAGCGTTGCGAAGTTGCGACATCTGAAGACCGTGCAGAGGTTCACTTATGACGTCATAGGTCAGTGACCTGACCTGACCCAAAAATGCGGTTGGTGTCAAATGATGCGGCTTGGATCAAAGGTCAGGTATGCCAAGTTTCAGCTCTCTATCGCCAGCGTGTTCGGAGCTATCGCGAAAAAACCCTATGGGGGGGGGGCGGCACCCGCCCCCCCCCTCGGCCGGCGAGGGTTAAATTTTCGTAATTTTCAAAATTTCGAAAATTCGAGATAGCAGTTTGATAGCGCAATCTATTCTGAGTCCTCTCATGCAAAAAAAATTGGATCTAGCTTAAAAAGTGAGCTCTTGGGAGCGATTGCCGTGGTTCAATGTTTTGCGTCGAAATCGGCCGAACATGACGTCACTCTGACGTCATTTCCGGCCGACCTATGGTGGTACGAAGCTCAAATTTTGACACAAGGTGTCGAATAGATGCAGCCGAAGGTACTGAAAGGTTGGCGTCGATACGTCAAGCAGTGTGGAAGTTATTGCAGAAAAACGGGAGGGAGGGCTATAAATAGCCCCCCCCCCAGTGGGGCGCGGGTTAACCTTCGCCCCAGTGGGGGGGGCATATGTTACCACCCTGTCGCGTTTTTCGCGTGTGAATATAAAAAACCGCGGCGCGTAGCGCCGCGCCGCTTGGGGTAGCTTTTGGTACATCAATTTTGGACAATGTGTGAAATTTTTGACCCCAGGTCATGTCAGGTCAGGTCACCAGGTCAAGTTAACTGACCAAGCCTTAAAATAAGTTTGCAATCATGTCCAGCCTGCAGTGTTTGTCAGAAAGGTTTTAAACTTGGTGGATTGCATGCTGTTATGGGAGCCTACAATTTGTATATCTCGGATTTTTTATATCCGTGACCTAAGGTCAGGTCAGTGGCATGACCTTTCCATTACAAGTCAATGGAGAAAAATGAAAATGCCTCTAGATCCGTGTGTACGCATAGGAACAGTCCAAATATTTCAGAATCACAATGATTTAGTCCACTCGTGATATCCAAGGTGTCATTTTTGCTGATAGCCTCTAGAAAGGTCATCCGAGGTCATTTGAGGCTACAAACAGTTTTTTTGCCAATAACTCGCGATTGGAAAGAGATAGAACGCTGGGGATGGTCTCATTGTGTTTGTCCTGTTGAGACGCATCGACTGATATGCAACATTACCTTTTCCGGTCAGGTCATGACCTTGACCTGAGGTCAAATTTTTAAGTTGACCTTTCAAGGTCAAATTATAGTTCATTCGACGCGTCTCGGTGAGGGGAACACGATTCTGGCAATAGAAATGTCGTGGCTTTTTGTAGTCGAAAGTTATTGTCGAAAAACACTTTTCGTAAAAACAGCTATATTTGGAGTTTTTGCCCTCTGGAGGTTAAACCGTTGACCTGAGGACAAACCTGAGGACAATATTGATAATGACCTTTTCAAAAGAAGAGTTCAAAAGCTATCGATTGCTTTTCCATGCGTTTTTCCAGCTACCATAGTTCCTGAGATAGCGGCATGTTTTCTGAAAAATATAATGACAATTGGCAAATTTTGACCTTTGATGACCTCTGGTGACCCCAATATTGTTCTAAGGTGAAAAATGACCGAAATACTTTCAAACGTACGTATTGAGAGCTATCGACTGCTTTTTACCGCGTCTTTCTAGCCCTCTTAGTTTTTGAGTTAGAGGTGGGTGGTAACATATGCCCCCCCTCACTAGGGCGAAGTTGGCCGAGACCGCCACTGGGGCGCGGGTTAAGGCAGTATGTTCAAATTACCCCACGGTTGGGCAATTTGAACACACCGTGACTTGGTGGAGAAGTGAGGCTATACTATTTTCGAGGTATGCTCGGCTCGTCCAAAAATGAGGCTTGCATGTTGCAAGCAAGTGACATTTGCGCTACTGAAACAGTTTTCCTTCATCCAGGATTGAGCTGTAATTTGGTACGACGGAGAAGGCGTAAAAACATGTTCAAATTGACCCCACTGTTGTCACCGACCGCTGCTGAGCGGTACTCGCCGAGTCGCCGGCCGGCCCGTGTAGCTGCCGAGCCGGCCGCTGCGGCCACGTGGCGCCCGAGGCGTGTCTGACCTGGTGAGGTCATGCGCGGGGAGCGCGCTGATTGGTCGCTGGTGTCCCGCGCCGCGGGGCACCAGCGAGCTGATCTCGGGCGGGTGAGCCGTAGGCGGGTTTAGTCTGTCTGCGTGTGGGTGTAACGCTGTCTGGTGGGGGTGCGGAGTGAAGCTGGATTCTGGAGTGAATTGTGAGAAGTGACAATAAATATCCAGTGGTTGAACTCAGTGACTGTGAGAGAAAAGTGAGAGACGGAAGTTACGGAAGTGCGATGACTTACGGCAGGCCACAAACGCTTGTGACTGTGACACGTCCTACTTCCGGGGACCTCGGCTTTTCTCACCTCGTTGGGGTGTGTGAGGGGGCGGCCACCGGTGTTTCGCCAGCGAAAACCGAGGGCTTAACTCTTTTCCCGTGTTTCGCCATCGAGACCGGGGAAAGGGGCCTCTTTCCATACAAGGGGTGCGGCCAGTCGGCTTCGGCCAACCTCGCTATCGAGGCGTCGAAGTATCGGTAGATCTGTCTGCTCACGGCGCCCTCGCCGCTGAGGAGTCTTGATCAGGCAACGACTGTCGCCTTCCTCACCGATCCTGTCCCAATTTTCGATCTCCTAATCCCCCTCAGCCAGTCACAAAACACAAGTGTCGTCAGTGCATGTAAGCCTGAGGACATCGTGGCGATGTCCTTCCACCCTTCCCTATGTAACACAGAAACATGTTCTTTTCCAGTGCACCGGGATATCAAGCCCGAAAACATCTTGTTGGTGCGGGACGAGAAAGATGGCATCGTGGCCAAGCTCACCGACTTTGGTATATCCAAAGAGCTGACATCGGGCACTCAGGCCATGACAAGTTGGAAAGGCACTCTGGACTGGATGGCTCCAGAGGTGCAAGAGAGCGGAGGTCAAGTTGGATCCGTAAGTGCCCAGCTAGTGGATACCAGAGCAAATTGGACACCTTAACTATTCGTTTTATGCCGTCGCTTTATTCTAAACTTGGAAGGACTTATCATTTGCCAATGTGATCCCTATTCCCGGAAGTAGCTGGGGTGTTCCGCCACCCACCAGCTGCTGGGAGGTGGGGGGAGGGGGCGGTAAATACCCCTAGCCGATAATTCGAGAACCAAAAGGCGCAGCGCAGCGCGCAAGGCAGGCAAACGAAAGAATGCGACGAGACGCTTAGGATGAGCACTTAACCTTCGCCCCAGTGTGGGGGGGGCATATGTTACCACCCTGTCGCGTTTTTTTCGTTTGAATAAAAAACCGCGGCGCGTAGCGTCGCGCCGCTGGGGGTACCTTTTGGTACATCAATTTTGGACAAGGTGTGAAATTTTTGACCCCAGGTCATGTCAGGTCAGGTCACCAGGTCAAGTTAACTGACCAAGCCTAAAAAAGTTTGCAATCATGTCCAGCCTGCAGTGTTTGTCAGAAAGGTTTTAAACTTGGTGGATTGCATGCTGTTATGGGCGCCTACAATTTGTTTATCTCGGATTTCTTATATCCGTGACCTAAGGTCAGGTCAGAGGCGTGACCTTTCTATTACAAGTCAATAGAGAAAAATGAAAATGCCTCTAGATCCGTGTGTACGCATAGGAACAGTCCAAATATTTCAGAATCACAATGATTTGGACCACCCGTGATGACCAAGGTGTCATTTTTGCTGATAGCCTCTAGAAAGGTCATCCGAGGTCATTTGAGGCTACAAACAGATTTTTGCCAATAACTCTCGATTGGAAAGAGATAGAACGCTAGGGATGGTCTCATTGTGTTTTTCCTGTTAAGACGCATCGACTGACATGCAACATGACCTTTTCCGGTCAGGTGATGACCTTGACCTGAGGTCAAATTTTCAAGTTGACCTTTCGAGGTTAAATCATAGTTCATTCGACGCGTCTCGGCGAGAGGAACACGATTCTGGCAATAGAAATGTCGCAGCTTTTTTAAGTCAAAAGTTATCACGCGCACTGCAGCGGGTCTGAGCCGAGCACGAACTGCAGGGGGGGGGGGGTTGAAAACAACCCCCCTGAGATCTCAAAAACGGCGCAACGTAGCGACAAGCGGTAAACGGCGTTGGATTAATTGAGATGAGATCTACAAGAAATACTCAGATCATTTTTTGGTCAGGTCAAAAACGAGGTCAGCAGAGGTCACCAAACTCAAAATGTTGCGATTTTTAGCGATCTCGACATCCCTCCATATTTCCCGCTTTATCTTTGGAACTAGAAGAGCTAGAAAGTTGCAAAAAAAGCATTCGATAGCTGTTGAAACGCTCTTTTGCGATACTGTCCTCAGATTTGACCTAAGGTCAACGGTTCAGCCTATAGAGGTCATGAAATGCCAGATCAATATTGCAAATTTTCCGGAAATGCTTTTTCTGCAATAACTTTTCTTCCCAAAGAGATAGACAAATAATTCACACACCATCGTTCTTAGCTCGTCAAGGCGCATCGCATGGTATATAATATGACCTCGAAAGGTCAAGTTCAAAAGTTGACCTCAGGTCAAGGTCATGACCTGACCGAAATAGGTCATGTTGCATATCATTCGATCCGCATTGACGAGACAAACACGATAAACGTCGAACGGAGTCTCTATCTCTGTTCAATTAAAAGTTATTGAAGAAAAACCGTTGGTGACCGTTGAATTGCATGCCGGGCCCCAACAAGTGACCTGACCTAAGGTCACAGAAATAAAAATTTCGAAATATACAAAATGTTTCTTATGGTCTCCTTATATGTTTCTGAAAGTTTCATAGCATTCAGTCAAATGGTGTGGATGTAGCACAGCGTCAAACTTTTTATGAGGTGAGGTCACTTATCGTGACCTGGTGACCTGACCTTGCATGACCTAACACAATTTTTTTTTCAAAAATGATGTTAAATTGTTTAATGAACACCTATACAAAGTTTCAAAGTCGTGGCTTCACTGGTTTTTGAGTTACAGCGAAAAAACCAGAGGAGGGGGGTTGAAAACAAACCCCCTGCAGTGCGCGTGTTATTGTCGAAAAACACTTTTTGTAAAAACAGCTATTTTTGGAGTTTTTGCCCTCTGGAGGCTAAACCGGTGACCTGAGGTCAATTTTGATGATAACCTTATCAAAAGAAGAGTTCAAATGCTATCGATTGCTGTTCCATGCGTTTTTCTAGCTCTAGTTCTTGAGATGTTTTCTGAAAAAATATAATGACATTTGGCAAATTTTGACACTTGATGACCTCCAGTGACCCCAATATTGCTCTAAGATGAAAAATGACCTAAATACTTTCAAACGTACGCATTGAGTGCTATCGACTGCTTTTTACCGCGTCTTCCTAGCCCTCTTAGTTTTCAAGTAAGAGGTGGGTGGTAACATATGCCCCCCCTCCCCCCACTAGGGCGAAGTTGGCTGAGACCGCCACTGGGGCGCGGGTTAACCCGGCAGGCGGTAGGCCTCCCGGCCACCTTCCGCGCGGTGGGGGGGGGGGTATTTCCCCCCCCGTATCTCCGAAACTACTGGACGGATCCGGAAAATTCAAACGGCTTCGATAGCCCTGTCAAATTTGTCGAAGGAAACCAAATTTCATTGACCTCGGGGTCACCGATGACGTCACAGGTCAGGTCAAAGATAAAATGTTTCAACGTTCACGGGGCTTCTAGGGAAAGCTCTATAACACCGAGTAAAACGCATTTTGTCGAAAATCAGCGATAAGGCGTCAGTTGTCTAGTACATATGTTGCTATTAGAGGTCACTGGTCATACCAGGTCAGGTCACAGGTCAGGTCACCAAAGGTCACCAAAGGTCACCAAAGGTCACCACATGAACCCAACTTTACTAAAGTTGTGCGATGCATGTTTTATGGCCAGTTTTTCATTTCCAACTCAATGGTGTTGGTTATAAGACCATCAGGTACGGTTTAGGTCACTTTCGGGTGGAGGTCAGGTTAAGGTCAGGTTAAAAAAGGTAAAATTTCAAAAGTTTATATTTTTGCATAAAATGGGTATTGATTCGATGCAGCTCGTCACGGGGAGTCTCAAGGTGGTCTTTGTTTTGCGCTACGAGGTTTAGAATTGCTACAAATTGAGTTTGAAAATTTGACGTAATCAATTTTGAACAGTTTTTTCGCTATAACTTGGCCAAAAATATAGATATTGATCTCAAATTTGGTATGTAGATAGAACGCGGCAGGGACTTTCACATATATTCCGTTTTTTCGAAATTCAAAAAACTTTTTGGATTTTTCGGCTATTATATTAAAAAAAAAATCTATTTTTCATTTTTGAGGATCAAAATCCAAAAATTCGAAAAATCGAAATAACAGTTTTGTAGCCCTTTTAATTTCACACCTTTTATGTTGAAACATTTTTATGTATCTCTAAAGCTGTAGGCCTGACAGCTCTTCTCGGGAAACCTTTTTTGTCGAAAATGGCAGAAATGACGTCACTCTGACGTCATTAGCGGCCAACCTATCATAGCCTTTGGAAAATATGTCGGTCACCATGTGCGCTAGCTACTCCCGGGAAGGTACTGAAAGTTTGGTGACGATCGGCGCAGCGGTTCTCGAGATATATCGAAAAAACTAAAGGGGGGGGGGCAAAAAATGCCCCCTCACCACCGCCAGGAAGGTTAAAAGTTAGATGTAAGGTCATAGGTTGATTCAAAGTCAGGTCAAACATCTCAAACTTGGACTACAGCAGCATGGACAGTGACCATCCCACCTTAACACAAATTTCGAGGTGATATAGCCAAATTGGGGCCCCTGACTTGCAATTACCGATTTGCAGTGGCGGCGCTTGGCTTAACCCTCGCCGGACCTATTGGTTTTCTACATATGTACGTGCCGGCCGATTTGGGGGTACGACCCCCCTCGCCGTTTCGCCCCTGGTGGAGCTAGCGCGTCGCAGAAAAACGAGCGTGTGCGCCGTTACGAGACGCAGAGATTGGTACCCGATTTTAAACTCCTAGGCTAACCGGTGACCTCTGAGGTCAGGACAAGTGCCCCAAGGTGCAGTTCAGTTGTTGATGAATAACTTCGCAAAAAACGGCCGCAGAGCCGCGGTTTTGGCAGCATCGTGTTCGCCTCGCTCAGGCGCGTCGAACGATATACTTAATTTTTGTTTGGGTCATGTCAACTTAGGGTGTTGACCTCAGGTCACGCTCAGGTCAGCGCCCCCAGGTCACGAAGCTGGTCGAAAAAGGTCATGTCGCATATCATTCCATTCGGCAGGTCTTCTTGAGTCCATTGGTGGCTTTCCCGACTCGCTATTTCAATTTGATCGGGAGTTATTGACGAAAAACTAATATGACTTTGATGACGTCATAAATGACGTCACGCAAGGTCAACATTACAAAGGTGACGCATCTAACCTTGCAAGGAGTGCATCAAATCACGATATTATGTGTGCTTGAGATAGTTGGAGATCGTTTCCGGCGCCAAAATAGCAGTTTTTTATTTTTCCCCATTGACTTACGAGTATAATGGTGAGGTCATGAAAATGACCTGACCTCATATGACCTTTAGGAAAAATCCGAGAGATACAAGTTGTGAGACTCGTAATGGATACTAGATCCTGCAAGTTTTATTTCCCTGTGATAGCTCCTCTGGCAGTGAGGGCGTTGCGAATTTTCGACATCTGAAGACCGTGCAGAGGTTCACTTATGACGTCATGGGTCAGTGACCTAGTCTGATTCGAAAATGCGGTTGGTGTCAAAAGCTCCGGATTGAATCAACGGTCAGGTATGTCAAGTTGCAGCTCTCTATCGCCAGTGTGTTTGGAGATATCGCGAAAAAAAAACTCTATGGGGGGCGGCAACCAGCCCCCGCTCACGAGCTTCAGAATTCCTTTACCGTGACGTCATCACGGCGCATGAATTTTCCTTCACCCATAGAAATGCATGCAAAGCATGGTGTGTTTCAGGCGGGCTAAGGAGAAATCCAAGGCCT